TAGAAGGCAGGAGGGGACAGGAAAGCTGGTAATAGGGAACCCAAGGTCGAGAAGGAAGAGTGTTAACATGTCGTGAGGTTGTTAACCAATGTCATAAAAAATACGCATACTAAAAAAAAAAAAAAAAGAAGTGACAAGCTCTCAGGACAATTCCCAAGCCAGTTAACTAAGAGCTGGATCTCTCCATTGCTCAGAATTTTGGACTGATCCCCATCCTCTCGTACACCTTGGCTGTCTTGTCAAAGCCATCTGTCCTCTGTGTTATAAAGTCAATGCAGAGAAGGAAGAAAATTATTAATTTTCTGATCTCCCTATCTTCTTAAATTCCATAGGCTCAATTTCTAAGCTTTAAAAAATGAGCAGACTCCATTGTTTAAAAGGTTTATGGGGGCTAAGGGTGGGGGTGGAGGTGTCCTGCAAAATAAAACTGGAATGCCAGGTCTCACTATGTCATCTGAGACCTCATTAGTGTTTGGAGAGTTTCATTTTGCATTTAAGTTTGAAGTTTCAGTACTGTAGGAAGCAGGACAATGACAGGTGGAAGAAGGTAGTCATTTCTAATTATAGGTCCTGCTAGGCAGCCGGTGTGCCTGAGCTCAGTTTGCTTCCATTCTGGCAAATAAATGGAAACACGAACAATGTCCTAGAAATGTGGGCAGCAGCAGCAGACAACCTCACTGCCCCTTACATCTATCTTGCTTCTTCCTGATGTCCCTTCATTCAACAAAATGAATGAGGCACCCACTGGGCATCTCGTACCAGATATTACAGACGGTCTCTCTCTCCTTGATTGTCTTTTCCATGTGCCAACATTGTAGGTTCTCATTATATTTTTCTTTAAAATATTTCTTCGCTATTTGATGGTCTTCCAACTGCAGAAGTAGCATATGCTTATTGTAGCCAGCGAAACACAATATGTAAAAGAGAAAATTAATCATCTCCCTCCCCAGGACCTTCCATTCCCGTCACTTGACAGAACCAAGGTCTTCTCAGTTTTATTTTGATGATGGTCCTTCAAACTTCCCCCTGAGACAGCAGTAAGGATCTTGTATCAAGTCGTGGCAAAGATACAAACGTTAAGGATAGAGCTGGTCAGTTACGTGCCTCTTTCCTCCGGGCACTGGGCAATACCGTGCAGCACTAAAACGGGACGTTCATTTAACCACATCCACTCTGGTTTACAATAATGGGCTCCTAAACAGCCTTGCTACCTAGGGGAAGTGACCTCTATACATACAGGCAGTCCCCAGGTTACAGACATCCGAATTACTAACAACATGGACGCTCGTACTTGCCCGTTAATGTTATGTAAATTTGCCTTCAATTTGAAACGACTGAACCAACCCCTGCTCACAAATTCTTCATCACAATCACCTTCACTTGCTGCACGTGCAGCTTTTAAATCATTGAAAAGTCTTTGAGCCTTTTCTTGCACTGAAGGAAAGCTGAATAAGAACCATATATGCACCTGTTCCGACTCACCTACAAATCTGATTTAAAGACGTAGTTAGGAATGCATCTCGTTCGTAACCTGGGGACCCCTTGTACGTGTGTATTATGTTACATATACATCTCTATCACTTACTGTGGATATAGGAAAAGCCAGTGTGGTGAAAAGCAGGTCTCTGAAGGCAGTTATGAACTTAACGTCTTTTTTTCTTGTAACTCTTTTCAGCACATCATCCAAGCAGGTGACCCCATAGAAAACAGCCTGTAAGAGCTAAATGCATTACAACCAATGAGGACATTTTCATTTGCTTTAATTAATACATTCTTTACTGACGTAAAACTCCATCCCTCTGGGAGCAATGTTGATTTGGGAAGGAGGAGGGTGTTTGGCTCTTTTGGTTGGGAGCTAATGCAAGGGCCGGACTTCCAGCTCAGTGGGCCCTCACCGTGCTCGCTAAAACTGATTGAGTGTAGTCGTTTAGGGGGTAATAATGTGTACAGTATTTAGTGTAATGGATTTAAGTTAAAATGGAAACAAAATAAAGAGTCAGCTTAAAAGGAGAATGTAATGAGAGAGATGCCTTGGCTGCACAAAAGTGGAAAGAACGAAATCAGCAACACCATGGAAAAGAGGCAGACACTATGATGGACACATTCCAGTCTCTCCCAAGGAAGAGAGATTAAGAAAAATGCCTAGAACTGAAGCAGCATTCGGAGAAGCCAGAATCAGGGTTAGGGGAGCTGTGAAGGAGTTCTGTGTTCTCCTCAGGGGGATGAACAAAATGGTGCTGTGCTTATCTAAGAGAGGAGCCAGTGTCCTTCCTTCATTAAAAGAGGGGGAAATCTGGCTGAGGGAGTGATTTAAAACCAAAGGGATAGAGTAAGCAATGGGCTCTGGCAAGTCACTAAGCACCATGAGGCCTCTGAGGCCAGGAAAAAGAGAAGTAGAGCCTTTTTCAAGGAAGTGACATAACACCTCCACGAGCCATCTGTCAGTTTGTTGTACTGTGGCGGCTTGCGTGCTTCTATGATGCTGGAAGCTAATCTACTGATATTTCAAATACCAGCAGGGACATCCACGGTGGACAGGTTTCAGCAGAGCTTCCAGATTAAGACAGACCAGCAAGAAAGACCCTGCAATTTACCTCCGAAAATTAGCCAGCAAAAATCCTGTGAATCCCAACAGAATACGGTTCACTATAATGCTAGAAGGTGAGCTCCCTTTGAAGGCCTAGCAGATCCTAACAACACAGTTTGGGTTGGTATGAGTTATGCTTGTATCAGAATCCATCCTCTTCCTTGAAAGCTTTGGATTGACATAGAAGGGGCAGCCTGGACTCTATCTTTACGGTATAAGTCAGAAAAGTTCTGGAACCTGGGGAGCTGGGCATAAGATCATCAAGTCTGTGATTGGGGACATCACTGAGGTCTGGACTGTAGGAAAGTGTTAGCCAACTTGGCTTCTGGCCACTTCCTGTGCTAAGGGGGCGGGTAGGAGAGCCGGCATAGGTAGATTAGGTCAGCGGCACAGTGGTTAAGCATTCAGCTGCTAACCGAAAGGTCGGCAGTTCGAATCTACCAGCTCCTCCTTGGAAACCCTATGGGGCAGTTCTACGCTGTCCTATAGGCTCGCTACTCCCAGTGAGGGTCCTGGGACCAGCAGCACCAGCATCACTCTGGAGCTTGTTAGAAGTGCAGACTCCACCCCACCCCACCCCAGACTATGGAATCAGAATCTCTGGGCGTGGGCCCCAGGAACCTGATTTCTAAAAAGATCTCCAGATGACCTTTACAGTAAAGTTTTTGAAACACTGGATTAGACACTCATTTAAGTTTTTATTCTCATAATAACCTTATGAGATAAGTCCTATTACAACCTTCCACCCATTTCACAGATGAGGAAACTGAGGCACAGAGAGATTAAGAAACTCATCTAAAATCTCCTGGCCAAAGCCAGGATTCGAAACCCAGAGTCTCGTTCTTGAGTGAAACTCAAAAAAAAACAAACAAACAACAAAAACTATCCTCAGGGTTCTAAAAGGGCAGCTCAGAGAAAGAACTGTGGAAGGCCAGAAGAGAGACAATTATCTCCAGGTGGGAGAATTAAAACGACTTCAAAAATATTGATGCCTGTTTCCCCTCCCCAGAAACTCACTGCAAGATTAGAGGTTTAAGTCCACCTAGAGGCACCTCAGAAGAAAGTCCAGGTGATCTACATCTGAAAAATCAGCCACTGAAATCCCTATGGAGCATAGTTCTTAGTCTGACACCATGGAGTTACCATGAGTCGGAGTCAAACTCAATGGCATCTGTTTGGTTAACGGACAGGCAGAAAGAGGGGACATCAAAAGTAGCAAAGAATGACCAGTTGATGGAAAATCATGTGTGTACAAGAACCTCATGGTTCTTTAAAGGAATAGGAAGCTTTATGCCAAAAGGGGGCATGCCAGGGAGAGGATGGACAACAGACTTAAATGCCAAGATGTTGCCGCACCAACACTTTTCATTATTGTTGGTACATCTGACATTCCGCCCCTAAGAACTGGGTAGTATTTTACCTGGTGTCATCACATGTGGATGCTGGACAGAAGTGTGTCCACCCCCAGCAGTTCTCACCTCAGCGCTGGATTCTGTTCCAGCGGCTCAGGTCCCAGTAGGCCCTGCCTTAGCTAGGAAGGGCAAGCATGAGGCCAGCCACAGTGAGGACGCCTGCACTGTTGCGTCAACACAGCAATTAATCACACTCTGAGTGGCTGCCAGCTGTTCCCACTTTGGGGCGAGGCCACTCCACCCAGCATGTGAAGTCCATGTGACTGCTTTCTGGAGGCCAGAGCTTCCTAGAGTTATCATGAGTCAAGTTTGTCCTGACTTTCTCTTGCCTTTCTCAGCCCAGAATGTGGAAACTGGATTGGGAAAAGGACACATTACTCAGAGCCTCCGTGGCTTCTCCCTCATCAATACAAATTTGCTCCACGCTGCAAACTTGCCAATCACTTCTCTACCTCCACCTCCAGGTCATGGGTTACTTCGCTGGCACATGCCACATTGTAAAGATGCCAATGTATGTGGAGAGCATCATTGTCTCCACTGATCTTAATCAATGTTGGCATGTCATTATTTGCATCAACAAGGAAATTTATTGAGCCCACACTTAGGAGTTTTCAAGCTCAGGAGGGAGGCACTAGGGTGTTGCCAAGAGCTATGGCATGAAGCAGTTCCCAGTGAATAAGTAGCCACTCCGTCCAAGTTGGAGGGCCAGGAGAATGCGGAGCCATGGGCTCAATCGGGAAAGCTTCCGGGAGGGCGTTGAGGACATGTTTGGATCAGCTCGCTAAACTGGGCAGCAGTCTGCTCATTCCCCAAAGACAACTTAATCATTTATAAAACATGCACAGAAAGAACAATCTGGAGGGAGAAGACAGTAGTAATAAAAACAGATAGCAACAATTTGCCTTCTTTTAAGAATCTTACAATAAATTTACTCTAGATTATGTATTTCTCAGTGAGGCAATGGTGGTTCAGTGGTAGAATTCTCGCCTTCCAGTCAGGAAACCTGGATTCGATTCTCGAGCAGCGTACTTCATGTGCAGCCATCACCCATCTGTCAGTGGAGGCTTGCACGGTGCTATGATGTTGAACAGGTTTCAGTGGAGCTTCCAGACTAAGATGAACTAGGAAGAAAGGCCTGGAGATCTACTTCCAAAAATCAGCCAATGAAAGCCCTGTGACATCTATGGTCAACTGATTTTTGACAAGAGTGCTAAGTTCATTCAATGGGGAAAGAAGAGTCTCTTCAGCAAATGGTGCTGGGAAAACTGGATTTCTACATGCAGAAAAATGAAACAGGATCCATGCCTCACCATCACACACAAAACCAAAATCAAAATGGATTAAGAATCTAAATGTGTAAACTAAAGCCATAAAATTCTCAGAAGAAAAAGCAGGGGTAATGCTGTTGGGCCTAGCTTTTAACAGTCGATCTAACAGTCTAATATAATAACAAATGCACAAATAGCAGAAGACAAAATAAATAAATGATACCTCATAAAAATTAAAAACTGGAGTTCCGGCAAAATGGCGCTCTAGGCAGAAGCACCACGCCGTCCCTCCATAGCAAAGATCCAAAAAACTAAGCCAAACAGAGAATACAACAATCCTGAAACCCTAAAACATCAAACGAAGAGATAAAGAACTCAGCCAAGCACCAAATGGAGTGAGAAAACTGACAGAGAAAGGAGAGCGAGGAGAGATTCATGCAGAGGTCCCCTACCAGCTAACGCAGCGTGGATCTGCCATCTTGGACTCCTATTGGAGACCAGCAAATGGGGGTATGAGAAAGCAGCCTCATGAAGCGTCCAGCGGGAGACAAAACAACCAGTAATTTGCAGTGTGCGCTTTCCCATCCCCCACCCCTCTTCGCCCCCGCTTGGCCTCCTCTGCTTCCCGCGGCCACGGTCTCTTGACTGGGAAGCGCTGGCTGCTTGGATTCCACACACCCAAGCAGGCGGCTCTCTGGGTGCCATTTGTTGGCTACTAGTGTTGCTTTTTTTTTCTGCTTCTTTTGATTTCTCACTTGCCTCTCTCCACCTCCCCCTCCTTTCACTCGAGTGCCTGGCTCCATGCGCCACCTTTGCTTCTTCTTGAGGGGCTGCAGAGCGCCGGCAATTTGTGATATACGCTTTCCCACTCTCCACCCTTCTTCACCCACACTCGGCCGCCTCTGCTTCCCGTGGACACAGTCTCTTGTCCAGAAACTCCAGCCCACACTAGCTGGCTCTCTGAGTGCCATTTGTTTGCTGCTGGTGTTGCTTTTTTTTTTTTTTTTTTCCTGCTTCTTTTGATTTCTTGCTTGCCTCTCGCCGCCTCCCCCCCCTTTGGCTTGAATGCCTGGCTCCGTGCGCCATCTTTACTTCTTCCTGAGGGGCTGCGGAGCTCCATTCGAGTGTGGAGCTGCTTCCTGGTCTGGGCTACTGCGCCGGTGGGATCCCGGGGCTTTTGTTCGTTTGTTCGTTTTGAATTGTTTGTTTCTTTTCTTTTCCTTTTCTTGAGTTGGGAGCCCTTTCTGGCCAGGCGGAGCTGCATGGCAAGGAACTCCCCTTCAGCTTTCACAGACATGCAGAGGGATCCCTGAGGACATTTCTTTATTCTTTGGTTTTTTTTTTTTTTTTTCTGCTTTTTTTGGGGGAATTCCTGGTTCTTTTTTTTTTTTTTTTAATATGTTTTGTCTTCTTTTCCCTCTTTGTCTTTCTTCATTGCTCAGTTTCTCATCTC